CCTATACTCTGCCTCAGCAGAGGAGCGTGATATGGTTGGTTGTTTCTTAGACCTCCATGAAACCAACGAATCTCCAAGGAAAATACGAAATCCAGTAGTGGATCTCCGAGTGTCAACACAGGAGCCCCAATCAGCATCGGAAAAGGCTCTAATGGTGATGGAACTATCAGAACCCAGATGTGAAGGGAAGAAAAGACCCTGTCCAGGATGGCCCTTCAAATACCTGAGCAGATGATGAACCGCCTTCAGGTGTGGCAATCTGGGTTGAGAAACAAACTGGCTGAGTTTATGTACAGCAAATGTGATGTCAGGTCGTGATAAGGTTAAGTATAAGAGTTTCCCAATTAATCTCCTGTAATGTGAAACATCAGGAAGAATGTCACCTTCAAGACGACTGAGAGTGATTTTAGGATCCATTGGACTGGGAACACGTTTACAATCCAAGTAATTTGCATCCTCAAGCAATTGCAAAGTATAATGGCGTTGTGAAATGACAATACCAGAAGCAGACCTGGCCACTTCGATCCCCAAGAAATATTTCTAAGACCCTAGATCCTTGAGTTTGAACTGAGAATGTAAGAAGGACTTTAAAGAATTGATTGCCTCAATGTTTGGACCATTAATTACAATATCGTCGACATAAACCAACAAAGCCACAAAATGTTTTCCAGAACCTTTTGAGAAAAGCGAATAATTTGACCTCGATTGAGTGAAACCATGCTGAATAAGAGACTGGGTGAATTTAGAATTCCACTGCCTGGAAGCCTGCTTAAGGCCATACAATGACTTATGCAGTTTGCAAACCAAATTCTCTCCCTGTTTAACAGGCCTGAGCAAGTCATAACCAAGTGGTAACTCCATATATACCTCCTCAAACAATTCCCCATTCAAAAACGCGTTATTAACATCCAATTGTATCAAATGCCAGCCAAAACGAGCTGCAGGAGTGAGTAAGATTTTGACAGTGACTGCCTTGGCTACTGGTGAAAATGTATCAAAATAGTCGAGCCCCGCCTGCTGGGTATATCCTTTGGCGACAAGGCGTGCTTTGTGTCGTTCAAGAGACCCATCAGATTTAAATTTATTCTTATAGAGCCATCTACAGCCTACAGCATGTTTCCCAGGTGGCAACTTCACAACAGTCCATGTGTGATTATCCTCCATGGCCTTTAGTTCAAGCCTCATGGCATCACACCAATGAGGAAACTTAACAGCTTGATGGAAGAACTTAGGTTCAAAATGTGAGGAGATCGATAAGGCAAACTGTTTATGAGGATTGGAAAGATTGTTATAAGAAATAAAATTGCCAACGTGGTATGAAGGAAGAGGGAAAATTGGATGGATATGAGACATCAGATTACAGTGGTAATCATGAAGGTATTTGGGCGGTCTAGATGATCTTGTGGACTTGCGAACATCATTGATTGATGGACTGACAGAAGTTACATCAGTTGGTAATTCAGGATCATGGGTATCAAAGGAATGATCCAATCCATCAGAAGATGAAGAGGAGATAGGATCTGGAATATGGGATGTCTGATGATGGTGAGTAGGCCTAACAGGAGAATCAAGAGGTGTGGATAGGTTGGGAAAGGGCAGTACTAAATCAGGAAAAGGGTCAAGTAATTGATTAGACTGCACTATAGTGTGGAAAGGGAAGGTTTCTTCGTGGAAAATAACGTCTCTGGATGTAAAAATCTGTTTAGAAGCGACATCAAGTAACTTAAAACCTTTGATGCCTGAGGGATATCCTAGGAATACACATAATCGTGCACGAGGTTGGAATTTATTTCTATGTGCAGTAAGAGTAGAAGCAAAACTTAAGCATCCAAAGACTCGAAGGCATGAATAATCAGCAGGCTTGCTGAATAAGATTTCATAATGAGTTCTGTGTTTCAAAATAGGAGAAGGAGTTCTGTTAATTAGGTAGGCAGCAGTCAACACACATTCAGACCAGTAACAGATGGGAATTCTGGACTGAAAATACAAGGCACGAGCAACATTTGATAAATGCTGATGCTTTCTCTCCACAACAGAATTTTGCTGGGGCCTCTCCCCACAACTGAACTGGTGTACAACCCCTTTTTCAGCAAAGAATCTTGTACATGCCAATTCATGAGCATTATCAGATCTGAAACACTTGATTTTAGCATCAAACTGGGTGGTAACCATATTAAAAAAACGAATGATAGCAGCTTCTGCTTCAGACTTCTGGCGTAACATAAAAATCTAGGTAAACCTGGAACAATCATCAACCAAGGTTAAAAAATACTTGTGTCCAGTGTGTGATGCTGTATGGTATGGCCCCCATATGTCACCATGCAATAACTCAAACGGTTTGTCAGACAGCCTATTGTGTGATTCAAATGAAAACCTCCTTTGTTTAGCCAAGGGGCAAATGTAGCAAGGCAAATGTTTATTCAATTCAGAAGTATTACAAGAAACTTGGTTCTGTAAGATCTCTAATTTTTTAAATGATAAATGGCCGAGTCTATTATGCCATACATGAGCTGATACAACTCCAACAAAATTATTAGAAACTGAAGTGAAATGCCTAGTATCAAGAACATATAACCCTTGAATACTCCTACCCCTGCCAATCATCTTCATGGTGGTATTGTCCTGTATTTGAAACTAGCCCTGAGAGAAGTGCAAAGTAAGTTGAGAATCAAGAGCTAATGCACTAACTGATATCAAATTGAACTTGAACTGAGGCACATATAAGACATCATAAAGAATCAGATTAGGACTTAGCTTGACTTCACCACACAGATTCACAAAAATTTTGCAGTGATTTGGCAAGGTAATGCTGGCATTGTCAACTGATCTCAAATTTACAAATGCGTCAGCATTACAACAAACGTGTTTAGTTGCTCCAGTATCTACTATCCAAACTTCTTTAGTAGCAAAAACAGGGTCAACAGATATGGAATGGCAAATACCTGAAGTACCTGTATTCTGCTGGTTTTCAATTTCAGTGGAATCTGAACTTGGCTGAGGTGCCAAATGATTAGACAACATATTCATGAGCTGCTGATATATTGAGTAGAATTCAGATTTTGGAAGAAATCCCCTGTTGTAGACTGGTCCATGTGCTGGTTAATGGATAACTGATTTACATGACTATTAGTATGATAGCCACGATCAACTTCTCTGGTTTTTGGCTTAAATCCTGGGGGATATCCATAGATTTTGAAACATTTATCAACTGAATGACCATGAAACTTACAGTGAGTACAGTATGGTTTATCCTTTCTCCTGAAACTAGATGCATTTCCAAATCTGGATCCATCACTTCTAGGTCCATAATTCATCATAGGTTTAACAACTTCAGGTCTAACATCAGAACGATATGTTTCATTTCTGAAGCCACTATTCAATGTAGGCTTCACTGCAACACCAGATCTAACCGAGAAAGCTGCAGATGCACTAGACAGCATGTTTTCAGTTCCTAAGGTCTGTGCACTTAATTTTCTCTGATTCTCCTCTTGAACCATAAGTGCAAAAACCTTATTAATGGGGGGGATAGGATCCATGAGCAGAATCTGACTCCTAAAATTAACCAATTCTTCCCATTTGGTCTTTAATTTCGTGAAATAAACACTGATAGAACTCTGATCCTGTGTCAAGTTCATTAGTTCCTTTCTCAATTGAAAGATTCGTGGTCCATTACTTTGTTGGAACCTCTCTTTGAGGTCATTCCAGATCTCGTAAGCAGTAGAGGCGTAAATGATGCTAGCTGAAATTTCTTTTGAAACCGAGTTCAAAATCCAAGACATAATAATGTTATTGTTTCTAACCCATGAATTCATCAATTCTGGATTCGATCCATCTGGTTGCTCCCTGGATCCATCAATGAAGGAAATCTTATTCTTCACTGATAGTGCGATTGTCATCGCCCGATTCCATGAAGCGTAGTTCTCCCCAGTAAGAATCTGTGATACTAACACCATTCCAGGGTTATCTGAATGATGTAAATAAAACGGGCTAGACGGTTCGTCGATAACTGACCTATTCAGTGACGAATTCATATCAGTATCAATCTGATAATTTGCTGCATCCATATCGGAAAATCACCGAAGAACTCTCAGCGTTTTGCAATTCAGAGTTGCTCTGATACCATATTGAAACTAAGAGAAGTCTTGATGTGGAAAATATTTCTCCTTATTTTCTTATTATCAAACTGATACAGCAACCTTTGATTATATAGGCAAAGGTCAGGGAAGAAGCGGGAAGAAAAGTTCAGTTCCTCTAACTAAACTCCAGCTGGAAGAGTAAAGGAAAACTAACTAAAAAACAAACAACTAAACTAATTACAAGAAGAGGGTAAAACGGTAATTAGAGAAGAAGTGTTAAACTAGTAAAAAACGTGTCTCTAATAAGTCTCTTCACACTATAACACTGCAGGTTAAATGACAATGACTTGGGGTACTAACGAGTTAAATGGTTATATGATTTTGGTGACGGTATTCAAGAACAAAAGAAATTAATGTTGTCAATGCACGAAAGTGGAAAAAACTCTTTTAAGAAGATATTAAAGTTGTACAAGTGCAAGATTACTCTACACTAAAAACATAATGATAGAATACTTGAAATTTTTGTATTGCTCCACATATTTTCACATCCTCTTTTGTCATACCGTGAATCTCTTCCATTCATCTTCAGATAGAAGCAGCAGGAACATGAATGGTGACTAGTATTTTATACATTTGAAATATAAACTGAATGAAATCTGTGTATTGCACGATGTGTTGCTATATATGGTGAAATATTTGCGCTTGTTGGACCTGCAGTGGATGAACATCTGTCTGGCAGCTGCTTCTTCAATGTGAATCTTGACTCAAAAACACTGGTTCTACAGTAAATCTTTTCTGAAGTAGAATTCCAGCCAGCCTATAATGCATAAAATGTGTCAGAATTAAATATTCACATAGCTAAAAACCAAAGATCAGGTAATAAATAACAAATGCCGAAATTCCTTGAGATGGAGAAATCATTTGCTCAAGCAAAATTATCGTGCATCAGCATAAAATGCAGCCTCTTAAGATACTGACGTGTGGATGCGATAGAGATAAATTATGTGAATGTTTTCAGAATGCTCGCCAACCTCGGGATACATAATCTTCCATGTGGATTTACAGCTTCAAATGCTACACTGACGGTTCCTTTGTCACTCACCATCTTCAAACTTTCTAAGAGAACATACTGTCCGTAGGTTGAAATGCAACCTAAGGAAAGACGAAGATCATCATCGATGTTTGAGTACAGCTTCAAAGGCAATACTGATGGCTCTTTCTTGATGCTCTTGACTTAGGAGGCCATTCTTTGCTTTTTGTGCAATATTTATATTGCAGTGCTGCAACTACTTCATCCATCCAATGGCATTTAGAATGAGCACGACGTGGACAATGAAGGACTGAATTTGTCAATGTCCAGTTCCATTCCTGAACTGCTGCCTCGATAATTACTCAAAATAAGTTACAAAAAGTATTCATTGAAGACGATTGAGCTATATACCTATCAAGGTTTTTCTTAGCTATACCTATCCAGTTTTTTATTTTTTATTTTTTTATTAGTGTTGACGAAATGTAAATATAGCACTTAGAATATGATAGGATGTTACTAGCCTATTTGAAAGTACAAGGTAATTTATCCTTGTTTTTTAGGGTATGTGTGAGTGCCAATAGTAGCAAGAACAAAACCACAAAAACTACTAAAAATAATTTCAGGATCTCCAAGTAAAGGAGAGGTCACGTCAAAAAACTAGAATTAAAAATAGGATGTGCACACTACAAAGAATTTCCAAACAATAAGTTGGTCATACATAAAATATTAATCATCACAATGATTTTCAATATTAAAATATGCTCTTAAAATACAAATATAGAATCTATCCTTCATTAGAGTAATGATAACCAAAAGACTTCAACTGGTTCAATACTTGGTTTCAGTTGGGTTTATAGGCCATTGTAAGTGGAGAAACTTTCCAAAAGCAACTTTATAATTTATTTAATCAAGAAACAAAATGATAATATAAAAAAATTCCCTAAATGCATAACTCGCCAAATAGTAAAAATCACATATCAAAATATTGTCAAATCTAAACACTCAATTTGAATCAGAATATAGAGCACGAATAAAATACGTAAGTTCTTGCCCCTAAACAAGACATATACATCAGTACGAAATTTTAAAAAATTCGAAAATGGGAGGGGATATAAAGAAATCCACTCAGTTCTAGGGACTGAGTACAAGAAAATTGTTGAATCTGAGTATGGACATTGCATCCAAATATGGAGTAGAAAGGGAGATTAACGAAGAATGCCACATTTCATCAAAAAAATAAAAAAGAAATTACTAAGCCCTTTTTGGTTCCCATTATTTCCAAAACACATTTTTCTCTCACTTATTTTCAACCACACATTCTTCAATAAAATAAAATTACATGCAAACCCAAAATTTTTCCTCATTTTTTAACCACACATTATCCATCAAAATACTATTCCGAAATGTATTTTAATAAAAAAATGTAGCTCAAACGGGGCTCTAAATAGAACGAGAAGAAACAATGAAAGCAGTAATAAAACTGAGAGCTCAAAGCAACTATATAAATTATGTTCCTCAAATGCAGTTGTTGTACATGAAAGGACATTGGTATGAGCAGCCTAAATTTTCTACCTTACATATGCGCTGAATCTATAGAAAGTTCCCTCTGCTAACTATTTCTTTTTCAATGCTGCTTAATTGGCCAGGAGCCCATGATAAATACAATGGGAGAAAATTTTGGTTTGTGTCTACTGAGGGTGTGACTAAATAAGAAATTCACTACTCTGAGTACTGAATGAAGAAAGATTGTATGTCAAAATTTAGACAAAATTATGGGTTGGGTATTCATGCTCATATCCATTATAATCATAATATAGCCTCTCTCCCTTTGTGATGTCACGAGTTGCAACCAATAGTACACGGCATTCACCATTAACGCTGTATCTCACACATTTAACGTTCTGCTTCTTCCGGCCCTCCCTGCACAGAATTGACTGGTTTCAAGAACTATAGGTGAATATTGGAAATGACATGAATAAGAGAGAATCTGCATTCAGAGTCTGTTGAATGTCATGATATTTGCAGAAAATCAGGGAAAGATACATGGTTCAAGGAAACAAAGGATGTGGCTCAATGGCTTACGGTGTATAATTGTTTATGCCATTAATAAAACGAGCAATGTTTCCACGTTTATCAGGGCAGACAACAAGACTTTTCGAAGGGTCAGTAGCTAGAAGAAGGGTCATCATGCTATCACAATCATCCTGTTCCCGATTCTTAATGTAATCAACGTCTCCTGTATACTCAGCAATGAATGTCATGTCCTTCATTGGACCATCCGCTTCTACTGTATAGCTGCAACGTTCAACAAGGTCACATTGCATGCAAATATATATCACATAAGGGCTATTGAATGAGAGAAAAGAGGAACAAAGAAGTACCCTTCACAAGAATCAAAAGTTACAATAAGAGGAGGGCATTCGCCTCTTTTGTACATAGTCCTACACAACTCCAATGTCTCGGTATCCTCTTTAGAAAGAACCTAATTAAAAGAAACCTCGTGAAAATTCAAAATTTTGAGAATTAGCTGATTAATCAGAGAAAAGTAATTAGACCTGCATTCCACCATTTTCAAACTCAGCATGATTGGCTGATCTGGGAGCCATGCCCAGCATATAAGTAAGCTCATTGCTGAATTCCATGTTCTGAGCAGTCAATGCAGCTGCAAGAGATCCCATTTGTACTAGCCTTCGCGTGTGGTCTTCAGAAGGAACATGAGGCAATATCCTTCTCCGTTTCTTGTGGAACACTAATGTATTAGACCGTCTGCGACGTTTTTTAACATCTGGAATCCAGGTCAAAGAACTTTTATTGGATGTGTAGAACACGTACAAGAACAGTGCAAAGAACTTGTGAAGGCATGGACAATATGTAGTGAATAGCAAACTTCTATTGTATACATATTGAAGATTCAAAAAATGCTCCAAAATCTCAGTTCGCACTCTTAGCTGCTTTATTGAAAAAATTTACATAAACGACCGGCAAACTTATCACTAAATCTTTAAATTAAACCATCCAAAAGATACTTCAGATAACTAAAAGAACAACCAGAGGACTTCTGTATAATACTCTTTGCCATGGGTTCAATAGACTTAAAAAATATCTGCAAATTTTGGTAACTCGCTGTGCAGACACTTCCAAATTCAGGATGTGTTTTCATCCAACGTGTGCTGGCAGCCATGAAATGATAGCCTATGATCTCGTTAAAACACATCAATGAAGCTTCCTTTTGCACAAAATATAACCAATCCATGGAGAAGTAATGTCAACTTTAGATGATATTATTGACATGGGCAGAAAAACTTAAGTAAATTTAATCTTTTTTTCTCACAGT